GGGAAGCCATTTTGAGCAGCCGGCAGCCATTTTGAAAACCCGACAATCAGCTGTTTTGATCGTCATAATGCGAAGAATTGGTTCCTGAAGCAGGGAACCGATCGTTGCAAAGCAAAAAAACCCCATTAAAACATCGTTTTGCAATCGCAATTGCAATCGCAAAAACATCGTCGTGAAGTGGATTCGTCGTTATACGGGGTAATCGTTAAGCGGGGCACGACTGTAATTCCACTCTGTAGGTCCATTGGCACCTGTTCATCTTTCGAAGGTGTCAGAGTCTCCTTTGTTGGAGATGTTGACCGGTTCTCTGTTAAGGATGCTGTAGCTGTGGGTTTCCTATATTGGCAGACAAGGTGAGTAGTTCCCGTTATACGGGGTAATCGTTAAGCAGGGCACGACTGTCATTCCACTCTGTAGGTCCATTGACACCTGCTCATCTTTGGAAGGTGTCAGAGTCTCCTTTGTTGGAGATGTTGACCGGTTTGCTGTTAAGAATGCTGTTCTGTTAAGGATGTTGTTCTGTAGGCAACTAATTCCACAAATGAGTGGTTACACCAGCAGTTGGAAGGATTTTATTTGCAGGGCCTTAAGGAGCTGCAGGGCAGATGTTGCAAGTGCATTAACTTCCTGGCGGAATAGGTAGAATAGTGTGGCAGTTACAGCTTCCTAGCTCATTTTTTTTCTGGGAAAGGCTCAATACTTATCAGCACCCCCTTGTAAAGCTGAGTTAAAAGCATCCCAGCAGAACGTCGGCAATCCCGAAATGACTTTGCTGTTGAAGGTCTCTTCCGCACTGTTGGCTAGGCCTTTTCGCTCTAGCTGCTGCTCTTCTTCCTAGCCTCCTATAATTTTGAGCCAGCATTGGGCTGCATTTTTCCCCTTCTTCTTCCCATATTTGGAATGAGAAACTGTGTTTCATGGCTTAATCGGATCAAGCAGGCATGTCAGCAGTCGGTGGATTCTTATCTGAACAAAAATTATGCTTGTCTCTTACATAAAAGGGAACGAAGGGGCCATGGGTTTCCGGGTTTCCAGATGGCACGGCGTAGCAGCGGGTGGGGTGGGGGACATACACACTCAGTGGTCTGTCTTCCTTCCTTTAAGGGCTGTGCAATTCCTCACTCAGAAATGCCTTTGCGAGCACTGGTGTCTCGTAAAAAAAAACAAGCCGTGCTTTCTGGCGAGTTCTCGTTCACAACATAGCTCTCGAAGGTGCTGAAAGAGGTGGAGAGTGGCACTCAATGCACTTCACTCAATCATCATCACAGCCCTGGGAGAACTGATATCTGCATGCTAATTTAGCAGCCACCACATTGTTTTGCTTACAGGGATTATTCTCTCAACGCCTCTTCCTTTCAGTTGTTGACCAAATGACATCGTTAGCAAGCCTGTTGTTTGAAAGAAACCTTTGGAAAATTACCTTCCTTTTTTTTCCTCTATTGTCAATGAGATTCTTGAGCTATGATCTAAAATAGGATTTTGCAAAGCTCTGCTTTTAGATCTTTGTAGCTCCATGAGGAAGCACATGCTTTTCATAGGGACCCTCCCTCATTTGGTTGACCTTAAAGGTAAAGGTTCCCCTTGACAATTTTTGTCCAGTTGTGTCCGATTCTAGGGGGCGGTTCTCATCCCCATTTCCAAGCCATAGAGCCAGCATTTTGTCTGAAGACAATCTTCCGTGGTCACATGGCCAGTGCGACTTAGACACGGAACACTGTTACCTTCCCATCGAGGTGGTCCCTGTTTATCTACTCGCATTTGCATGCTTTCGAACCGCTAGGCTGGCGGGAGCTTGGACAAGCGATGGGAGCTCACGCCGTCGCATGGATTCGATCTTACACCCGAAGATCTACAGACCTTACAGCACAGAGGCTTCTGTGGTTTAACCCGCAGCGCCACCACGTCCCACTTGGTTGAACTTAAAGAAACTGAAATAGTTCAAGGTTTTTGTACACCATAGTTTAGTCATCAGTCGAAATAGAGATGGCAGCCAAGAAGGCAGAAGAAGGATAGGACAACAATGAAGGAATTTGAAAATATCCATCAGGTGTAAGGATGTGTCACTAGAGACCAAGATCATCCACAGTCTTGTATGTCTGATCACCATGTATGGGTGTGAAAGCTGGACAATGAAGAAAGCTGAAAAAAAAGGAATTTGTTTGAAATGTGGTGCTGGGAGGAGAGCAATGTAGATACCCTGGAGTAGATCAAACCAAACCTGAACTATCTCTGTAGGCAAAAACATTGAGGCTGTCCTCCTTTGGGCACATCATGAGAAGGCAGGATTCTCTGGAAAAGACAATAATGGTCGGAAAGGTGGAAGGCAGCAGGAAAAGAGGATGACTTAGCACAAGATGGGCTGACTCCCTAAAGGAAGCCACAGGCTTGACTTTACAAGAGCTGAGCAGGGCCGTTGTGGACAGGTTATTTTGGAGACGGCTCATGCACAGGGATGCCATAAGTCAGACTTGACTTGATGTCATGTGATTTCTAAATTCAGTTGCCAGAAAAGCCATGAAGCTCTGGTGAACTCTTTGAGTGTCAATAATGAATGTCCACGTTCACAGATGACAGGAAAGCCATGGTGTGGTCTGTTGAACCTTTGTTGGTTGATAAGTTGAAACCCACTTCTCTCTACAAGCCATGTTTCAGTAACTAGAAACAAGTCACCATCGGAACCTTGCTTTTGGATGTAGGTGTTTGGATTTTGGCTTGTTCAAACCATGAGTTGTCGTGACATCTGAAGCTGCAACTTTGGCTTGTCACAGGCCTGTTTCCCCAGCTTTTCACCTTGAAGAAAGAGAAGAACTAAACCAGACCAAGGGAAGATGCTCTGGCGGCTGTTGTAGTTGAAAACATCTGGAGGCCCAACGTTCCTTAGTCTTGGTCTAAAATTGCCTAATTGCAGAGTGACATGAAAAGCTCTGAATATTCTCTGTGTTTCTCTAAATCTCACCTACCTTCCCGTCCCATCTTGGTTGCAATGTTATATATTTTTCCTTCCTGTATGGAAATTCATGTCCATTTCCCATAATTTATGTCCTTCTCGTCATGTATGCAGTACTCATTCATTCATTCATTCATTCATTCATTCATTCATTCATTTTTGCACATTCCCCCTCTGGACTAAAGCCTTTTTGCCCAAGTTTTTGCTCACCTTCCCTTTTAGCCCTTCCGAGCCTGGCCAAGTGTTCACAGATCTCGGGGGGGGGGGAGGTTGATCCCACTGTCAAGAGTCCCAGATCCAAGGGACCAGGAGGTCTTGGCATGACAGAAGACGGTAGGCAAGCCATAGCCAAGGATGTAGGGAGAACCCTATGGCAATGGCTCCCAGATGTTCATGGACTAAAACTCCCAGAAGCCTTCACCACCAGCTGTATGGGCCAGGATTTCTGAGAGTCGTAGTCCAAGAACACCTGGGGACCCAAGATTGGGAACCATTGGCCTATGGATACCTGTGAAGGCTTGATTGCTAGAGAGATGTCCTAGGAAAGGAGGAAATATATTTGGGGCTTGTCAGCTGTGTTTCTTCAGACATTGTATTCAACCGCTCTTTCTCTCCCTCCTCCCGTCCCCAGTACCCCGAGTGGTGGCCGTCTCTCCGCAGATGCGCCTGGTGGAAGACAACCCCTCCTCTCTCTCCCTCGTGGAGATCTACAAGCAGCGCTGCACCAAGAAGGGCATTGAGCACGACAGCCCGATTTCACGCTACTACGACCGACTGGCGACCGTCCAGGCGCGAGGGACCCAGGCCAGCCACCAGGTGCTGGATCTGTGACGAACGCATTTGGAGGCTCGCTCTCTCTCTCTCTTTTTCTCTCCCTCCCTCTCTCTTTCCCTCACTTTCTCTCTCCCTCTCTCCCTCCCTCCCTCTCCCTCACTTTCTCTCTCCCTCCCTTTCTCTCTCTCTCTCCCTCCCTCTCTCTTTCCCCCTCTTTCCCTCACACTCTCTCTCTCCCTCCCTCCCTCTCCCTCACTTTCTCTCTCCCTCCCTTTCTCTCTCTCTCTCCCTCCCTCTCTCTTTCCCCCTCTTTCCCTCACACTCTCTCTCTCCCTCCCTCCCTCTCCCTCACTTTCTCTCTCCCTCCCTTTCTCTCTCTCTCTCCCTCCCTCTCTCTTTCCCCCTCTTTCCCTCACACTCTCTCTCTCCCTCCCTCCCTCTCCCTCACTTTCTCTCTCCCTCCCTTTCTCTCTCTCTCTCCCTCCCTCTCTCTTTCCCCCTCTTTCCCTCACACTCTCTCTCTCCCTCCCTCCCTCTCCCTCACTTTCTCTCTCCCTCCCTTTCTCTCTCTCTCTCCCTCCCTCTCTCTTTCCCCCTCTTTCCCTCACACTCTCTCTCTCCCTCCCTCCCTCTCCCTCACTTTCTCTCTCCCTCCCTTTCTCTCTCTCTCTCCCTCCCTCTCTCTTTCCCCCTCTTTCCCTCACACTCTCTCTCTCCCTCCCTCCCTCTCCCTCACTTTCTCTCTCCCTCCCTTTCTCTCTCTCTCTCCCTCCCTCTCTCTTTCCCCCTCTTTCCCTCACACTCTCTCTCTCCCTCCCTCCCTCTCCCTCACTTTCTCTCTCCCTCCCTTTCTCTCTCTCTCTCCCTCCCTCTCTCTTTCCCCCTCTTTCCCTCACACTCTCTCTCTCCCTCCCTCCCTCTCCCTCACTTTCTCTCTCCCTCCCTTTCTCTCTCTCTCTCCCTCCCTCTCTCTTTCCCCCTCTTTCCCTCACACTCTCTCTCTCCCTCCCTCCCTCTCCCTCACTTTCTCTCTCCCTCCCTTTCTCTCTCTCTCTCCCTCCCTCTCTCTTTCCCCCTCTTTCCCTCACACTCTCTCTCTCCCTCCCTCCCTCTCCCTCACTTTCTCTCTCCCTCCCTTTCTCTCTCTCTCTCCCTCCCTCTCTCTTTCCCCCTCTTTCCCTCACACTCTCTCTCTCCCTCCCTCCCTCTCCCTCACTTTCTCTCTCCCTCCCTTTCTCTCTCTCTCTCCCTCCCTCTCTCTTTCCCCCTCTTTCCCTCACACTCTCTCTCTCCCTCCCTCCCTCTCCCTCACTTTCTCTCTCCCTCCCTTTCTCTCTCTCTCTCCCTCCCTCTCTCTTTCCCCCTCTTTCCCTCACACTCTCTCTCTCCCTCCCTCCCTCTCCCTCACTTTCTCTCTCCCTCCCTTTCTCTCTCTCTCTCCCTCCCTCTCTCTTTCCCCCTCTTTCCCTCACACTCTCTCTCTCCCTCCCTCCCTCCCTCTCTCTCTCTCTCTCTCTCTTTTTCCCTCCCCCCCCCACTCACTCTCACCTAGACTGCCTTGTTCACATCTCTCGGCTGGCCTCTCCTTCTGTTCGAGGCCTCTCTACCTTTATTGGCCAAAGGATATTTCAAAGCAGATCCGCTGGAGAACTGAGAAGGCACCTGCATCCCATTAAGCATTGTTGCAAACAATATTTTTTTTTTTTAAAAAAAATTGAAAATAAAAATAATCAGTCTTTAAAAGCTTTTAGTACTTAAGCTTTTAATACATAAAGTTAGTCCTAGCAGATCCCATTTCTCATCATAATTTATGAAATTCCAAGTATGTTGAGTCCTGAAGTTCTAATAAAGAACTTTTCGTGCCTTGGGTACCTTTAAATAAAATGAAGTGACATGGAACATCTGTCTCTCTTCTCTCCCCTTGTCCCCCTTTCCCCCCCCTTTTGTTTTGAGGCCCTCCCCTTCAGGTAGCGAGAATTGAGTCTCCCTGAGTAATTTAATTTAAGCAAGTGTGATTATCATTTTTTTTCTAGTGCACCGGAGCAGGTCCCCTATTTATTTCTCTATCTAATTAATTAGGCCAGTCCATGCTGTAGTAATTAAATACGGAGGTAGTTCACAGATGTTTACATGGGAGGCATAACTCGGATGCGCAGTGTGTGGCAGCATTGCATTAACCAGGCACTGGAAGGTGGTCCCACTTGTACCTGAGTATTCCGTAGGTTGGGAAAAGCCGGGACCGTCTCCCAAGGGGTTCGACACTTGCAAGAATTGATGCAGGGCAGGAAAGACATTCCTGGTGCCATGTGGATGTTTAGAAGTGGGCCGCTTTGCAAGGTCCGGGGACTCTTTTCCAAACTCACCGGACCTTCCCGGATCCCCGAAACACTAGAAATGATCAGATGTTCCTTTCGTTTTCCACCCGGATCGATTTGTCGGCTAAGGAGAAAGGAGGCATACTTCACATTTCTGTTGCGAAGGAGGATTGTGTTTTCTGGAGACACCGTTCTTCTTCTTCCTTCTCTTCTAACTTCATCAAAAGGGAATGATGGAAGACCGACCCCCCCCCCCAAATGGCCTTAGAAGCCACCAGCCTCCTTCTGTTGTAGATCTGCCTCAATGGTATAATTTGATAGCGGTACATTGTATTTAAAATACTGCTGGTCTTTACCTCGCCCCAAAGCCTTCAAGCCAGGGTAGGCCTCTCTGGAACCCCCTTGTCCCCGATCTGGCCTCCTAAGGCTCCCTAGACAGATGATCAGCACCCGCTTTTACACTTTTCTGGTGTTTTCCCAGCTCTTGTTATTTCCCCTTCCGAAAACACTGAAACATGCCACAGTTTGGGGTCCTGTTCCCCATTCTCTCTCTCTCTCTCTCTCTCTCTCTCCACACACACACACACACACACACACACACACACACACACACACACACACACACA